CTCCCGAATTATTGCTTTGTATGAGCTAACCCAGTGGTCTCCAACCTTGGCAACTTTTAGATTTGTGGACTTCAACTCCCATCTAATGATTTCTAAACAGTCAAAAGATTATATTGCAAATTACATAGCTAAGCTTGTGTTACTAAGAATATATTGTGGGGCATGTGACCTGCATTGACCCAATTAGGGTCAGATATTAACACAGAATTCTGATAGATTTTTGCTGCTTTTGACTAGAGACTTTATATCTTCCTTTTCATTGAAGGTGTATTTAATGAATTTGAGTTGATGTTGAATATCATTGCCAAACATTACTACAACCACTTATATCTTCAATACGTATCACTTAAGTAATATTTTTGTTTGGATTGGTTTTAATTGTGTAATTTTATTCATGCAACTATGGAGTAGGATGTAGTTTTCGTCAATATGTCTGCATTTCAAATATATAAAGATGCATTAAGAGGCATTCAGAAATTTTGAGAGCTGTTATTGAATGGGTATTTCAATTTATCTTAGTATTCTTATTTTGAATGAAAGTACTTCTCAAACAGTCCTCATCTATTGCTGCATAATGTTTTTAGTTTAATGAATATATAATTATATTCAATTATTCTATTCAATTATATTTTAAAAGTGTAAAATTGCTTGAAACAGTTTTACATGATCATCTTGTCTTATGAGAATTATTTCAACATTACAAATGCCAATTAAATTTTAGATAAAATGTTGATACCTGTATTTGAAACTTTGCCCTGCCATTAGGGCCTACGCCACTGGGTTGATAATTTGCAAAATGGAATAATTTATATATTTGCATTGTGTGTTGCCCTTTCAAATATTCAACACATCTGACCTGTACTGTCTTCCTATAACTTAGAGAGTTCCATCCATTTGTCTAGTGGTCTAGTGCCAGTTTGGTGTAGTGGTTAAGGGTCCAAGTCTTATCTTAGCCATGAAAGCTAGCTGGGTGTATTTTGACAAATTACATTCTCAGCCTGACTTTCCTCAGAGGGTTGTTGTGAGGAAAGGAGAAGGAAGGTGTGTTGCATATGTTTGACACCTTGAGTTATTTGTAAAAATAATAAAAGTGGGCTACAGATAGATTAAAAACTTTAGCAATAAATAGTACTTTAATATTAAATTAAATACTGAAGAACTTATACACTTTTAATCTTATCAAATAGCTAAGTTAGACTCTTGTAAGTTTGAAACTTCCAATTTTTATCAGTTCAATAATTATTGAATAAAATCATCCAGTTTATAGTTCTTCAGTCTTCTGTTTAGTTTAAAATGCCTTGTAATTAAATAAAAGGAAAATCACTGAAAAGTATAAATGTGAGCCATTAAGTATAAATAACATCAGAAATGAAAGTGAATAGACAATATCTACCAATATCAAAAACTTAAGTCTGCCTTAGAAAAATTTGCAATAATTAGAATATTGTAGATACAATTGTGTTGTAGAATTATTTTGTAGCCTCATATCTTGACACTATGCCCAGTCATACTTTTTAGATCTGATTACTTGACCAAATTCCTAGCAGACTTCAAGAAAATATCACTCGGGATATGTACTGAGGTTAAACATATTTCAGATAAGAAATGATCAAGCTTGATTGTGGCAGTATCTTCAGGGGGATATATCTAAAGTACCAGAGAAGAATTAGGTGCAATGACAAGCACGAAATTTTACTGATGGTGAATAAATTCAAAGTACAATATATGTTAAATTCTGAAAATATTTTAGAATATAATAGTAGTATAGGCTTTATTGTCATTGTACAAAATAAATACAATGAAATTGGTTATGATTTATAATGATGTGAGCATGGAGTAAAATCTCTTAATGCCAAACATTACATTTCAATATTTGCATATCTTCATTGTAATGATATCAATTAACGTATCCTAGATAAATTCTTTAATTAATGCATCAGCCAAAACATTTGGAAAGTCCCCATCTCGCAAGCAGAACTATTCTTCTAAAAATGATAACTCAGTGGAAGAGAGTTTTGAGGATCTTTTGTTGAAATACAAACAGATTCAACTAGAACTTGAGTGTATTAATAAAGATGAGAAACTGGCTCTAAATAATAAAGAAGACAGTGCCCAACAGAGCAACAGTGAAGTATCCAGTCCACAGGACCAAATAACAATTGAAAATGTCAGTATTACAAAAGATGCTGTAAATGAAGTGTCTCCTGAGGAGAACAAAGTATTAACTTTTCAGGCATTTGAACTGAAACCTCTTAGGCAAAAACTGCCCACGCTAGCTGAGAGGAGCAAGTTGAAAAAAGCAAAAGATGGAATAAAAGAATATTCACAGAAAAGTGACCAGGATATCAATGAAGGTATTTTTTTTAAGTTGATTATATGTAACCTTTTTAAAATGAAATTTGATTCCTTCAGTTTTTAAAAATATTTCTCAATGAAAAAATAAAGTTTAAATTTTATTACCAGAAATAATGCTTAGAAGCTAAACTTTTTGATTTATTAAAATTATTTGCTTTTTCTGGTTATTAGAATTAAGGAAGCTATCAATTTTTTAAAAGCCAAAAGTTGAAGTAAAATGTATTAAATATGAGTCATTGAACTTACAAATTAAAAATTCCTTTGATATAGGCTGCAATCACATAACAAGCCAAGTATGGGTTATTTTAACTTTGATTTACTGGATTAAGCCAATTGACTGGGTTTGCACATTTCAAGTCATAAAAACAATAGCAAAGGTTAAAATTAACGAGTTTTATGTTATATGCATACTATGAAACTTTCTTTTTTCTATTCCTGAACATCATTCAATATATACAATCATTTATGTATTGATAGTTTATATTGAAAGAGAATACAGCAGTTTTTTTCTGAATGTTCTATTGTGGCTGTAATCCATTTTTCTACTACTTTACGATTGGAAATCCTGCAACCCAGATGAAACTTAGTTTATGAGACATAGTTCTCTGTCATCTAGGCATAAATATTTTGAATATCATTACAGTTTTTAACAATGGTTAGTAGAATGAGGTTTCATTGGTCAAATTGAAAGAACGTCCACAAGTTAGGATGATCCATTTAATAACTATTCAGAATTATGACAGTGCTCAAAAAAGTTACTTATGACCAGTTCTGGCTTTTATGATCATTGCAGTGTCACCTCAGTCACATGATCAAAATTCATGTGCTCGACAATGGGTATATACAACAGCTATTATATACGATGGTTATGGTTAACCCAATATTTTTACTGTTGCCTTTTTGTTACATTTTTTTGTTGTATTAGTGCTGATAAATAAATAAAGGGAGACTAGTATAGATCTATTTCAAGTTATTTAGCTCTCATCAGCTAGCCATACCCTTACTGGGATTTGAACCTGGGCTATATTACATACTAGGCAGACTTCTTAGCCATTAGGCCACAGGCTCTTATCTTATCTTTTATTTATTTTTACATATATATATATATATATATATATATTTTGTGCTGGCAACAGTAAAACAAAGGCAACAGTAAAAAAAAGTATTGGGTTTCTGTCGTGATGGACTCTTGTGACGAGCCGATAGACAGATAATGGAAGCAGTTAGCTTCCTCCCATAATTGGGGCATACCAGGGGATATATATATATATTAAAATCAGGGATAACTCCCTTCATGACTGCATTGTTTAGCAACAAAAAATTTGGTCCCAACTTGGTTATGAGTCAAAAATTACTTGTGTTGCTTTGGTGCTGATCTCCAACTGATCTTTATTCTGATTAAAAGGAATTTGAAGCCTTCCTTTTGAACTCTTACTATTCTGTTGTTATTTTTCAAATTTGAAGTTGGTTCCCAGAAGTTAGTTAATTAGGAGATTAATTGTTTGAATGATATTGTCATAATTAGAAAAATAGGGTTCTCTCTTTTCCCCCCCAACAGATGAAAAAGAACAAAAGCTTGACACTTCTGATGCTGCAGTAGAGAAGGTAAAACATTGCTTTCACCACTAAAATCAGGAGCTTTAGCAAAGCATAGATTTGCAATATGTCTTAATTTGAAAAGAAGTGCAACTGAGCTTAATGGGGGGTAATTCCTAACATGTTTCAAAGTTCTAAGTTAGAAAAAAATATTTGGCACTATATAATCTGAATTAATGAGTTTATCTTGTCAATGAAAATGTTCTTGTCAACTTCGAAGTGTGATTTTGCTGTCGCAGCCAATGCCATTTTTCAGTTTGCCACAATAGGGGGAAGTGAGAACCACCTTTGGAATGCCAGTTCCAGTTGGCACAAGAATCGTCCTATGGGAACCAAGGTCACCTAACCAGATATTCAGCAAAGACTTGGACAGTTTCCATAACAATACCTGGCCATCTAATTGGACAATGTGACCTGCAGTAATAGAGGAAGGGAGATTCTATTCTTTAATTATGTGAAAACAGCAGGAATTAGATAGAGTTAGTTTTGCTTTCAATCTTTGCCGATACAATGTACTCAATAAAGTTTTGCATCTCAACAGTGCTTGCTTGGTTGGGTTTATCAGTTGGAACCTGGACATTAAACCAACTGTCCCTAATTCCTGTGGTTTTCACATAATAAGCCATTTCAGTGAAAGGCAGGATTTCTGCCCAGTTAGATATTACAATTGGATGAAGGATTAAAGTGCTTATTTATTATTTTATTTCTATAATAGAAACTCTTGGATGAGGAACAAGAAGTATCGGAGTTACAGCTAAGACTACTGGCTCTTCAGTCTGCTAGTAAAAAGTGGCAGCAGAAAGAGCAGCAAGTAATGAAAGAAAGCAAAGAAAAACTAACAAAAGCAAAAACGGTACAGCAAAGAGGCAAAATCAGTACAAAATCTCATTCTGCCAAAAAGCCAAGTACTGCAGGTAAATAATCAACCTAGTAAATGGTGGTTTTTACGAGATACATTCTTGGTAGATTTTCTATGGGGTTTTTTGGGGGTGGGGGAGAAAGCATAGTTAAGTAATTTTCTTTTAAAGCTAAGCAGGCTCTAAGAAAACAGCAGACAAAGGTATGGAAAAAATTACAGCAGCAAAAGGAACAAGAAAGACGTCAGAAGGAGGAAGAACAATGGAAACAGGATGAAGAGGAGGAAAGAAGAAAAAGAGAAGAGGAAATTAGAAAAATTCGTGATCTTTCAAATCAAGAAGAACAGTATAATAGGTTCATGAAGCTGGTTGGTGGAAAGATGAGGTCAAGAAGCAAGGTATTTACATACATACTACCTTTTCTAAGGAATACAACACATAAATGGTTGTTAGTGATACCATGTAAAATATTACAACTGGTGTATCTTTTTAAAATATATACATTTGGAAACTTTTGTAAGTTACTTTTTGTAAGCCATGTATCATTAATTTTCTATCCCATTAATGCTAAAAATTTCTCTTGTTGATCCATTTTCTAGAAATATGTTGTCTGATAGCTGCCAAAATTGTAAAAGAAAATTAGAAATAGGGAATATCATGTAATGCCCATGATAGACAGAAATTTATCTCTTACATTTTGTAGGTGATAAAATTAATTTATTGATTTGTAACAATGCCCAATTCAAAATGATTCTGGAAGGCATGCAAAGTTAACAATAATGAAAAAAACCCAGCAATTAATAAAAGATAAACTTCCAAATGGTGTATGAAAAGATCTATGTTTCAATATTGTGTTGTTGTTGTTTTTTAGTAAAGTCAGTGTGAGGTTTATGAATCATGGGGGAATGCTGATTCAAATTGATAACATTGTAAATACAAAATGTTTTATGAAGCAAAAATTTAAGTTGGTACATTGCTTTGCAATAAATAACATCGTCAAAGCATTAAATTGATTACCAAAAATAGTGTTAATACTTTTATAAATAACAGCATTTTCTTCTGAAGAAATGCATCCTAAATATATAACACATAGGGATATTTTATATTTTTCAGTACTGCAAAGAATAGAAGCATTGACGGGGGTGGGGGATTGAAAACTAGGATCATCTCTTTCTAGATTTATTCTAAGACTGCTTCTATTCAATATATAGGTAATATGTATATGTAGTGTTTTGGATCTTTGTGATCCAATTTTTGTTTAGTGGGACCAGTGCAGGAGTTCACCACAAGCTCATGAAACATTCTACACATTTCATAAGCAATCTTATCAATCCCATTATCCAGATCAATGAATAATATGGTCACATCCTTTAAAAACACTACTAGTTACTTCTCTTCAACTTAATATAAAGTCACTAATGCTGTCCGTATGGTTTAGCCACTCAGTTTTGAATTTACCAGATTTCACTTTTAACAGTTTATCAAGAAACTTGTCAGAAACTGAGGTAAATTGTTACTAAAAATGAGATAGATTATTTCAAAGTGTTCTCTTGTTCACTAAGGTAGTTACTTTGTTAAAGGAGACAATATGTATCTCACATGATAATTTGGCAAAGCTATGCTGATTTTTAACAGTCATGACTTTGTCTTCAAGATACAAAAGGCCTTCTGTATTATCTAATGGTTTTTCAAGGCATTAGTGGGGTCATAATCCTATTTAAAAAAATAGAAGCAATGTGTACTTCTGCAGAAGTACTTGTTTGGACAGAAGGAAAACCTACTTGCCCTACGAATCTACTAGAAGTATTTTTGCCTGGAGAAGCAGTGATTGGCAGAGAACAAGGAAGTGGATGAGGTTACTCAGAAAGCTGCTTATTTCTAGGACATGAATTACAAATAATCCTCAACTTGGAACAAAATTATGCTCAGAAATTTGGTCATGCACTGGAGTAATTATTAACAGGGTCACTATTTGACCTGACTGAATTTTATAACCACTTTTACAATGGTCATAAAGCAAGTCATCACTGTTTTTAAGAAAACCATGTGGTTATTAGGGGAATACAGCATACCCAATGGATGTTACAAAAAATATTGCAAATCATAATTATGTGCCCTGCATGGTGTTGAACAAATCTCACAGGGAGCTCTTTCACTCTTAAAATCTAGCTGAGTCCTACACTTGAGGGGAAGGGAATGACTCCTGTGTTGACAGGCTAAACCAAAGATCCAAGCCTTGTGCATGTCGTCCTGGGAAAGTTTTTTTCCACCTTCATTCGGCAGGCAGCTCTTTTACATTATAAATGGAAGGGAACTCCTTCCCAGGTCAGGTGAATGGGACTAGAATTTGTCCAAGCCTCATTCAGCCTGCTCAGGGAAAGAGTTTATTTCCATGCACAGAGCAAAAGAGCTGCCTGACAAAGGAGGGCAAGCAGCTCTTTCATTCTGTCTGCTTAACAACCACAACTGGGAGAGCTAGGATTGCATTTGTTGAGCAAAGTGGTCATGTGAGCATCTCAATTAATGACTTATGATTGTTAAGTGAGGACCATCTGTACAAAGTTATTTTGGCAATCTTCTGAATTTTTGCCTTCTGAAATTTTGGTCCATAGTATCTATTCTCTGATTACCTGTCAATAAGTAAGCCTTGTGGGAGTTGTAAGCAAACGTACGAGAAGAAAATCAATTTGCATAGCACCATTATAGCCTTTTTTCCTGAAAGCAATTTGTAGTAAAGCAGGCAGGTTTTTGTTAGTTTTATTAGCAGTGAAGAAGGAAAACTATTTGATTGTTTGAAGTACATATATGATTAATAAATACACTTTGTCTAGTCTTCAGATAAAGATTTGAGAAGGTCCCTAGATAAGCAATCAACTGAGAGTGCAGGAGGAATTTATCAGTATGATAATTATGATGAAGTTGCTATGGACACAGAAAGTGAAACCAACTCACCTGGTAAGTACTAATTTTTGCAATTATGCTTTATTCCTAATAGTGCCTTTTTATATTTGCATTCTATATGTAAGTGATCATTATTAATTCCTGCATGCAATACTACTAAAATGTTTTGTTGATTTAAATTAAAATGGAATGCCTTAACAATTTTGCATCTGCATCAAGTGCAAAACACAAAAATTATGAATAAAATAAGGTAGTTTAGGAATGTCAAGTGAAGGTTTAAAAAAAACTACAATGGTACTATTGTATCACATTTTGATTTATTGGTAAAAATAAAACAAAGGTCTTTTTTATCTTTCTAATAAATAAACATTCTAAGCCCCATATATTGCTTAGAAGGAAACATAATTCTATAGACAAATTTGGAAAAAAGCATTTACTTAGCTTAACTTACCTTGAAGTGTTTTTATAAGGATACATTGTTGGAGTTGTACTGTAAATGAAATAAAAAGTACTTTAATTCAAGATTTCAACCTCTCCATTCATCTTCACCCGTTTTATCTTTGTTGGGAGTTTTATTTTTTCCATTGTTTTTCCTCTGTTTGTTGTAGACAAGTTTAACATAGGGGTGTCAAACTCGATTTCATTGAGGGCCGCATCAGGGTTGTGTTTGACCTCAAGGGGTTGGGATGAGCATGGCCAGGGTGAGTGTGGCCAGCATGACATCACTTGTGTTGGGGCACCTGTGGTGGCCAAAGTATTCTGCCAGCAAAAATGGACTCCTGGACCCAGTTTTCGGTTGCAGTGGCCTCCAGCAGCCCTCTGCCAGCGAAAATGGAACTTTGGGGTGGGGGTGGGGGGTGACTTCATCTTTGCTGGCAGAGGGCTGTAGGAGGCTTTTACGGGCAAAAGTGGAGCCTGGGAAGGCTATGCAGACCTTCCTGAGGTCTGTTTTCACTGGCAGAGGCACTGTGGGCAGGTCCTTTGTTATTTCCAGGGTGGCCCCGTGGGCCAGATCTAAGCATCCTGCAGGCCAGATCTGGTGTGCAGGTTTTAAGTTTGATACCCCTAGACGATATATATTAAAATATATATCGTCATTCAGTGTATTTATGGGCAGGTTTTTTTTTGGTGAAAATGGCTTCTTATTTTGAATGATGTGTTCAGATACTATTTTGTCTGTGGCACTGTTTATGTGTGTATCTTTCTCTTTCAATCCCTCAGTTTTATTCTGTCCAATTAGTTTTGTTTAAATTATGTCATATAAACTATAGGAGTTATTGTTCTTTTTAAAAAAAATATTTTATTCAAAAGTTAAAATGCAAACTTGCAAAAAACAGGAACTAAGCAGGACAAAAACAAAAGTAAATGCATAAAATTACACATATATTGTTTTTTCCATTTGAATACCAATAAATATATTACTATATTTATTATAAATATAATATTATATTAGTAGTTTCCCTTTTGCAAAACAAATCTATAGTATATAAGCTTCCACAAATCTACCCAAACAATTTGATCATCTACTATAAAAAGACACAGGTAACAGGTAACCTCACCAGTAGAAACCCACTTCAGAACCCTCTGTTAACAATCCATTATTGTGTCTTACTAGCAGGAAGTCTGCAACAACTTCTATTTCAGCCTTAACCACTACAGTCATTGTCTCAGATCTCTGTTGTAGGTAACTCCATATAAGTATAAATGTTATGGAGTTTAAAAAGTCCATAAATTTTCTTAAGCAAGTCCAATTTGTCACTCCATTCGGTATCTCTGAATTTTTTGGATTCATAGGCCTTTCAGCTTTTTCCACCAAGTCTGTAATTTTTCAGTAATTCCTTCTCCAACTCTTGTCAGTAGCAAATCAATTTTGAGTCCATCCAATTACAAATCTAATTCTGCTATTACCTGCCTAATGTCTTCTTTAGATTGATATATAATTGTTATTGCTTCATTAAGCTTTTTATCCAAATTTTCAAAGAAAGCTTGGCGGTTAAAAAGCATTTTTTTTCTGAAGGCTTCCAAGGAAGTTTTAATGTTTTCATTTTTAATGTAGTCCAAAAAAACCACACAACAAGCTGCAAGAGAGATTGAGATATTTTTTCCCATAACAGAAAATAAGTAAAAGAGACAAAGGGAAAAGTTTATTGTCTCTTTGAGGTAAATAAAAAAAAAGAACCAGAGAAATACTCAGAAATAAAATACAGTAAAACAGCAAAGTTCTTGTAAAAGCTAGTGAAATACACATGCCTTACTATTACAGTCCAGTGTAAATCAAAGCACTTTCATTATGGAAAAAGAAACCTTTGGGCCATCAATTTACATGAAATGAAAACAAAAGTGATCCATTTCAAAACCACTAAGAAAAAAATTAATCACATAATCCAGCAAGGGTAAAGGATAGTTAGTTCAATATTCAACCAGATGTGTAACATTCAAAATATGTCAAAAGCAAAACCAAATTCATAAAGTTATATTAAAAGGAAGATGTCCTTAAAAATCCAAACAGCTGATTTTCATGAATTGCAACCAACCAGGTTTCTCTTCACGGGCAAGTAGTACGATCGTCCAAGAGTCATCTGGGGTCTTTCCTAGTTGCTACCATTTCAATTGGATGAGGTGGCTAAGATGCTGAGCTTGTTAATCAGAAAGGTCGGCAGTTCGAATCCCTAGCGCTGCATAACGGACTGAGCTCCCATTACTTGTCTCAGCTTCTGTCAACCTAGCAGTTTGGAAACATGTGAATATAAAAATAAGAACCACCTTTGGTGGGAAGATAATAGTGTTCCGTGTATTTAGTCATACTGGTTACATGACCATGGAGACGTCTTCGGACAGCGCTGGCTCTTCAGCACTTTAAAACGGAGATCAGCACTGCCTCCAAGAGTCGGGAATGACTAGCACATATATGCCAGGGGAACCTTTACCTTTACTGTGACCATTTCAATCTAGGGAGCAAGTGCTGCCAAAGAGCTGGCTTTGGCAGTGAAATCAATTCTTCATCAGTAGAAGAAAAGTAGTTCCACCCCCTTCCCCCCCCATTTTTGGAAGCTCTCCACTATATTGTAGTGTTATTATGGAACAGATTTAAGATTCAATTTTAAATTTTCTTTTTGCTTGGTTTGTGCAGATAGACAGACAGACAGTCTGTCTCCCCCCCCCCCCCCCATGCACACACACGCACCCTCTCTTGGAAATGTAACTGAAGAATTACAGCATGAAGCTGAATAATGCATGTGTAAAAATAATTCTTAATTGAATCCTGGTATCTTTCATCTTTTTATTCAATTAATGAATGAGATAAGCTTGGAGTTTAAATTGTGACATTTATTTTGCATAGTTATAATTTCTTCCATCATGGTATGATTGGGGATCACTGCTGTTAATAAATGGTAGTTTGTAGTAACAATAGTTTTTCTGATAAATATTTTCTAGCATCTTCTCCAGTACAGCCTCCTTATTTTGAATGTCCTGCTGGATATTTTCCTTCTGCTATTCAACAAATCTCACTGACCCTTACACCACAGATTTCAGTAAGTGATAATACAAAATGAATTTTTTGAAGTAGAAAAATCTAAGAATATGGTTTTTTTATGCCTCCAACATGCAATTATGGAAGTTCTTTGTGCATCTTTTTTTTTGCATTGGTATGTTCATTTTGGCCATTTTGAGAATTCTCTTTTAAAGTACCTATTATAATAGGAGTTCTGAAACAGCTTTTCTGCTCCTTGTTTGAAAACACTACTAATCATCAGTATTGTATAAAAAAGTTGTGCTAGAAAAGCTTGATAAAATGGTTTTATGCTGAAGATTACTTTGGGAGTACCATATTTTTTGGAGTATAAGACGCACCTCCCCCCCCTTAAAAGAGGGTGAAAATTTGGGTGTGTCTTATACACCGAATGTAGTCCCACCCACCACCAGCCCCCACCCTTTGGCCTCTGCTCCCAGCAATTTACCTCTTTGCAGCAAAGGCTGAGGCTTCAATAAGGTATAGCAATCCCTGAAGCCTCTAACAGCTGATGAGTGGGATAAATTGAAAGTGGAACTAGCTGTTTGCTCCACATGGCAAATTGCTGGGAGGCAGATTTTTTTTCTTGTGCTAATCAGGCTGTTTGCTGCAAGGAGATAAGTCAACAACTATAAATGCCTATAGAATGTTCAAATTATTAGACTTATTTTTTAAAGACTGCTTTATTATTGTTCTAGACAACTTAACAAAATGAAGAAGCTTTTTAAAATAGATGCTTGATCTGAAGAGGCCCAGTGCTATTGTTTTAAAAAGTGCTATTCTTTTAAATAGCAGAGAATAACTACTTCCAGAAAGCACATTTTAACAGCATCTGTACAAGTATAGTCTGAAGTATAACACTACAAACAGTGTATATTGTCTGTACTGTTTGTTGCAAGGAGGCAAATTGCTGGGAGGCAGAGATATTTCCCTTGTTTTCCTCCCCAAAAGTTAGGTGCATCTTATACTCTGGAGCGTCTTATACTCTGAAAAATACACTAATATATTTCATAGTGTAAAGGCAGCTGTGATTAAATGGATCTTTCACTTAATGCAAGGTGGGAATACATGGTCTACCTTGGAAAAACCACACAGTACACTCTTGAGGATATCTGGGCACTAAACTGTGTAACCCTTAAAAGGGATCACCATTTTAATATGGAACCAGAAGCAAATGGATAATCATTGCAGTTCCCACCCCAATATTAAAGATTCTAGCGCTACTGTCCCTAGTTAGTGGCTAGGGCAACTACTGAATCTTCAAAGACAACTCCATGTAGATGTCTTAAAGCAATTCCATCTGTGAGGTGAGAAGAACATAGTACTGGAGAATCTTTAGTAGCAATAACATGTATTTTTTCTTTAAACTTTTTTTAGACTCTACCACCAATTAGCCAATTGTACATGGAGGGTATTTCAACTGTCTCTCTGGAACTGCCACCACCTCTTCCTCCTCTTCCACCTGAAGAACCTGAACAACCCCCAAAACCTCCATTTGCAGATGAGGAGGAGGAAGAAGAAATGTTACTACGGGAAGAGCTACTTAAATCTTTAGCTAACAAACGAGCTTTCAAACCAGAGGTATTTAATAGATTTTTAATACTGCCATTAGGTGGAAGCCCTAGTACATTTTGTTTTGTTTGAGGAAAAGTAGAATATATGGTAGAAATCAGATAAGATTATGAGTTCTTTAGAATTTTAAAAATTCTTCTGCATTTCCGCTATTTACTAAGGATTTAAAATAGCTTTGCTATAAACCCAGTATAATCAAAATGGGAGCTTTAGGTTCAAATGGAGTGTAAGAATGGATCTATGGATAAAGATTACCAATAAAGAAGAATATTTGTATCCCAGTTAAAATAAGGGGTCCTTGGTGCTCTCTGAGCTTGGTTTGTTTTCTTGTAGACATTTCATATCCAACTAAGTAATGTCATCAATGCTAGACTAGCTAGGAAGAAAAAAAGAATTGGTGATGTTACCTAATTTGGGTAATGAAACAACCTGCAAGAAAACAACCAAGTTCAGAGAGCACCAGGGCCCCCTTAAGGACTAACAAGAATGAAATTCAGCTACTATTGGCCACCCTGGAAAGAGATCTGCGAAGTGGGAAGATCGTTGTAGTTTGCAGATTTTACAATGTACTTACAACTTTTTTTTAACTGTTGGAAAATCCAGCGCATTTCTTTAAAACAGAATGGGCTCCTCTGTTATTCGACAGGTTGTTACTGTTCCTACATTGATTACAGTGAATATGTTGTGTGATCACATGCTGATTTTGGGTGGTATGAGAAAGAAGCCTTATCTTCAAAAACCTCAGGGCTGCTGTAAATAGGCACCAAAATTTATTTAAAAAAAAAAAACAGTAGGAATTTTTTTGTTCATCTCTTAAAGCCTGTAAGATAAATACAATTTTTGTACATCCCTGAATCCCCTAAAGTGCTTTTAAAAAAATAGTTGGATATTTGTTGAATCGGATACCTAATTGTTTAAAAAGATTATATTGAATCTAGCAGGATTGAATAATGTGGGGGATTTTGGAGAATATGATTTTAGTCATATGGCAGACATCAAAGTTAATAGCTAATGAAAGATTTATAAGTTACCTACTTTTAAATAATTGCACAATATTTTAAACATTGATACATAGAGAAACTTATAATGTGTTTGAACAGTTTATTAATTTTAATATATAATTTTAATATAATATTTAAGTGTTGTAATCTTTTTTTTTTAGGACAACTCAAATAATAACAGTCCGCCTTCTCCACCTTTTCCCAATAATTCTTATTCTGTGCCAAGAAGCAATCTTTCAGCAGTCAGTATTAATACTGTGTGTCAACCTCGTATAAAGAACACAAAAATTATTAGAGTACCAAGGCCCCCCCGAACAGTCATTGCGGTAATAACTTTTAAAAAAATTCCTTCATATTTTAAAGTGTCTTATAAATTGTCATATGAGGAAAGTGGCTAAAATTGATATTTTGTTTTTTTCTGTTTTCAATTGAGATGATGATGAGGCTGAGGAAAGCTGATTTCAGATTTGTGTACATTAAGAATTAAAGTCAACATAAAGTCAACTGGAAAAAGCTAGTGGTTAACATGCTCTTCTCCTCTAACAAATGGAAGTTCAGTGTACATTTAAAAATCAAATAATAATAGATTTGCTGTTATCTTCAGTCAAAATTGTTATATTCTTTGACTAGTAATTTTATTTCTGCAGCTTCCAAAGCACAAGTCAGTTGTTGTTACATTGAATGATTCAGATGACAGTGAATCAGATGCAGAACAACCTAACTCTACTAGTAATGAATTTGGAGGTCTAGAATCTATGATCAAAGAAGCTAGAAGAACTGTGGAGGTAAATGGATGAGTAGCTGCCATGTATGCCACACATTTCTTACATTTCTCACATGCACATATTTTTCATTATAGGATAGTTTTTATTAAAAGAAAAATTGTAAAATGGCTCTTCCTCTGAACTTGTAAATAGAGCAAGCAATTTCAGAATCTTCTTCTGAAGAAAAGTCACTCTGAAGTTCTGGTTCTGCAATTTTCAGAATTGTATCTTACAACTTAAAGATCTCTGAGATATTCTAGAAATTATTTGATTGAAACAGACAGTTTTGGAATTGGACCATTCCTTAGAATAGCACATGTTGGAAAAAGATTTGACATGGTAGGAGAGAATGAAGCATTCAAAGTTTTTCAGAACATACTTTTGGAAAGGAGCCCTGAAATATTATTGGGTCTTTCCTCAGTGTTAGTTAGTGCTACCTTGATGTCCTCTTGTCTTTTAAATCCACATTCACAAGCATATATGTTGGGAGTATAACTACTAGAATTCCCAGGAAGTACAGCTGAAGGGAAATACTGTATTTAAACCAGAAAAAACTATACTACGTAAAAATGAATTCAAATTAACTTTTATTCTGAACTTCTAATACTATTCCTTTCTTGGGTCTTTTTGTTGCAGGCATCAAAACCCAAAGCACCTTTAAAGTCAGAAAAAGAAAATAATCCTGTGAGAACTCCTGAGGCTTTACCAGAAGAAAAAAAAATAGAATATAGACTTCTAAAAGAAGAGATTGCTAGGTATATTTAATATACTGTATGTCTGTAAGCTACATAGAGTTGCCTCTGGTGAGATGGGTAGCATACAAGTTTAATAAATAAATAAATAAATGCTGTAACAAATAAAAAACAAATTATTGTTTAAAGTAATCTCTGAATTATTGCTGCCCTTGTTTGAGTAGATTCACTTGGTCATTTTAGTTTAAGTTCTGCTAATCGGGTTTAGCTTATTTTTCAGAGATTGTTCTATTTTCTCGGAAATTTTTTCTGATTTCTGAATTTCTGTAAGTTGAAACATTAAAAAAATGGTTTTCAAATCTTTTTAGTCGGGAGAAGCAACGCTTGATAATAGCTGAACCTTTGAAGACAAGTTCATCTCCTGTAAACTCTGATGTTGAAATTGATGGAGTTGGTAGGATAGCCATGGTAACAAAGCAAGTTACAGATGCAGAGGCAAAACTCAAAAAGCACAAGTAAGTCTTTTCTCTGTGATCATCTCTATGGATTGTGGTTTTATAGGAGAAAAGGGTTAATCTTTTATATTTTGCTGGTTATTACACTATTTGTTTGCATCCTGTCTTTTTACAAATAAGGCAACCTTCCAACATACCTTCCTCCTCCTACTTTCCCCACCACAACAGCAACCCTGTGAGGTGAGTTGGGCTAAGAGAGAGTGACTGGCCCAAAGTCACCCAGCTAGCTTTCATGCCTAAGGAAGGATTTGCACTTTACTCAGAATTCCACTTTCAACCCTGATGACTTAACCAGTAGTCAAAACTGGCTCTATAATGTCCACCATCTATCCTTGACAGATACCATATTTTCGGAGTATAAGATGCTCCAGACTATAAGACGCACCTACCTTTTTTGGGGAGGAAAACTAGAAAAAAAAATCTCCCTCTGCCTGCCAGCATCCATCGGTATTCATCTGGATAGCATCCTTGCAGCAAACAGCATGGTCAGCTTCAGCACGTTAATGCAGCCTGATTTAGCAAAACAGCTGATTGGTGTTTGGATTGGCCTCCCAGAATACCACCAATCAGCTGCTCCAGGCTGCAGGGATCGCCAGAGCTCATTGCCGCCTCCGCATGTTGCATTTTTGCCCTCTGCACACTCCGTTTTAGACCCATTCCAGGATGCCAGGATCACCACAGCACATTGCCACCTCTGTGTTGTGTTTTTGCCCTCTGCACCCCTTGTTTTTGGCCTTTGCACGTTGCATTTTCGGCCAATCTCTGCTGCCTGGAACTGGTCAAAAATGCGATGCATGGAGGCCAAAAATACAACATGTGGAGGGCAAAAACATGATGTGCTGAGGCAGCAATTGGCAGTAATGTGCACGTGTTACTGCTAACCAGTTGGGTTGCAGGCAGTACGCCCCAGTACAGGCGTAGCGGAGCCAGTCCGGAGCACTGGATACCGTTCCGGTACGGTGCTCCAGAGGGCACACCCGCCCGCCCGAGCTCCTTACCTGTGTTTTAAAGCTTCTGCGCTACCGCGCATGGCGCATACAGTGCTTGCGCAACACTCCGCAGAGCAGCTGGAGTATCACGGAGGCCCTAAGATGCATGCGCGTGCCCATGAGGATGCCGCCAGCCGCATTCCAACTGTACCAGTTGGTACGGGATTTGATACCCACCACTGCTTCTAACCCAGTATATCTCTCTAATGAGAAAGGAGTTAAGTTTACTGCAACTTCTGGAAATAAGTTTGTTTATATAGTTACTATCAATGCACTGTCTGCTTATGTGTTTTGTTATTTTTAAATTAGAAAATATGTGACAACTTATGAGAAACTGAATATTCCAACTTCCAACAGCTGCTTTATAACAGAATGACTCTTGGAAGGGACCTTGGTGGTTTATTTGTATTGTGATAATTTTAATTTTAAAAATGGCAACACATTTTCATGTATCAGTTTCACATATAAATGTGATGTTCATCCAAATTTTGGATGTTTCACTTTAAGTACTGTTTGACACGAAATATGTTTGACATTTAAGATCTGTATTATCAATTTATTGATATAACAAGAAAAGCTGAGAAATTATGTAAACAAATTTGAGTTCTTTACTATAACACAATTTCCTGCTAAATAGGATATTATAAAGTTAGTTTCATTATGCTCCACATATATTTTTTGTAATATATATTTTGTGTTGGAGTTTATTTATAGACACATGCTTGCATTATTAAAAATAATATTTGTAGTAATACTCCTTTTCCCCCCTAAAAAACACTAGCTCATTTGGTGGGAATTGTGATACATATATAATAAATGTATGTGAAGTTCAGTGTTGTAGCTTTCTATATCTTTTCACAATCAACTTTTGCTAAATTAGATTCAAATTTTAGACTACAATGTTGATTCTGAAGTTGAATGGCCAATAAATGTAAATAAATAAAACCACTATTTGGATTGCAATATATCAGTGTGCCATTTTTTTATAATTTTAAAATATTTCCCTCCTTAATTTAATGTTTTATAATATTATTCTATTGTTAAACATAGTCTGCTAATTGAAAGAAAATGTATCAAAAATCATGAAAATATGTGGTAGGCTTCAACTGCTTTTCATGGTGGTTCTGATAATATAGAGCTTTTATGTAGAATGTAACTGTTCTCTTTAGACTTCTCTTGATGAAGGATGAGTCTGTGTTGAAACATCTTCTGCAGCAAGAGGCAAAGAAGAAAGAATCTGTTCGTCTTGCTGAAAGCAAAATTGCTAAGCTTAATGAGCAGCTACAGGCAACAGAAAAAATATTAAATGCTAATAAGATATTTTTAAAAAAACTTCAGGAACAAGTAAGTATGTAAAAAATGCCATGGAGTAGTATTTTAAAGAGTTGCTTATCTTATTAATGTGTTTAAGAGACTTTAAAATGTAATTTAAAAATTTTGGTTGGAGTATAGAATTTATTGAAGAATGTTTAAATGCTTCAGATTCACAGAGTACAGCAACGAGTAACAGTTAAGAAAGCATTGGCATTAAAATATGGAGAAGAACTTGCTCGAGCCAAAGCCCTGGCTAGCAAAGAAATTGGAAAACGAAAACTTGAACACAGCCATTTTGGAGTAAGTTTGTTGTTGAAATTTAAGAACTATTGTTCTGAAATACTCATTGTTCTAGCCTGAAGTCAGAAAACAAGGTGAAATATGAATGAAAATTAATTTACAAATATAATTATAAAACATAAAATTTAAATGTAAGTAAAAACTGAATGGAACATTGCAATTTGAACATTGGCTAGTGTGATCCCATGAACCCCATAACTTTAATTTTTAAGGAGGATTTGAGCTTATTTTGCAGTTTGTTGCAAAATAAGCTTGTTGTCTACCTCTATAATATGCCTTAAAAATATACATGGCTACTACTATCCTTAGGACTGAGACAAGAATGGAGGGGTTGCATCTAGTATCAAAACATTCCAGACCCAATACAGTTCAATAATTAGCAGGGACAGAGCTATTTGGTTCTCAGAATACAGCAGGTAGTGGAGGCCAAAAGCTATTTGCCTGCTGTTCCTGCCCAGATAGATCAAAAGAAAAAGAAAGGAAGTTGTAGTAAGTCAATGACTGTTGGAGGTTTGCAGTAAGCAAAATGCTACTTTTTCCTTTTTTTAATTTTTCCTCTTAACATCTTCATAGCATAATGAAAGAAACAGAGACTTAGGACTATGCTTGCTAGCCATTTGGTACATGTTCTGAAAACCTGCCAGGCTCAAGCTAACTACAAAATCTTTCTCACATGACGGGTGAAGAGGCAGTCTGTGAGAGGCCAAATGAGCACTTGTAATCAATAAAACTGTGGGTCATTGTAAATATACTTATTGTAGAATGATTCAGCTGAACTTCTATAAATATGCCAAAATGTTGCACTTTTCAGCTGAACATATAAATTTTACCTAAAAAATAATAATGATGAAGTTAGTCAAATACTGTGTTTCTAATTTATCTTGCCCATAATTGAGTTCATGAGAGAGAAAGAGATCTGTTTCTTTGCAGCCAAACAAAACATTGAAACTCGAGAAATCACCTTCATCAAGTCCAAAGAAGCATTCTGCAGAGTTGATTGCACAGGAGAAAAAAAGGCTGCAACAGTTGCAACATGAGTATGCCTTGAAAATCCAGCAACTGAAAGAGGCCCATGCATACCAGAGTAAGGATCGGCTAACTATTGTCCCTTCTGTAGAAGAAGAATCTGAATTTGCACTACCTCAGCCTTCCCTTCATGATCTTACACAAGACAAATTGAGTTTGGATATTGAAGAGAATTGTTTTGATGATGAAATTTCATCCAATTGTAGTAGAGAACGAAGAAGGTCTTTCAGAGAATCAAATTCTTTTACTAAACCTAATTTTAAACATGTGGACACTCCCAAGCAAGAAGCTGCAAACAAACTTTCTAAAAAGACATTAGAACAACCAGAGCTTTTTTTGGGGCTGAATATTGATGAACTAAAAAATCTTTATGTGAAAGCTGATGGTTTGAAAGAAGTCTTGGAAAAAAATGCACCATTCATTATTTCTATTGAAGAAAATCCTTGTGGTCAAGTAAGTTATATATTAAATAATAAAAAATTGATGACTTCAACTTATAATTAATAATGCTTAGAATAGGAGTTAGGCTGGTATTCATTAGATTGTTTTACTTGATTACTATTGTTCTTGAAAAAGTAGGAAGATTCTAATCTTAGTTCTGATGCATTACATTTTTAATTTCTATGGTGTGAATCTTCATATAGTGTTTCAACATATACACACATATACTCTTTCCTAGGAAATAACAGTGGATATAGACCAATTCACAGCTTCAAATAAACAAACAGAAGGAAAGCCATACCCATTTGGACCATATCATAGTCCTCTTCTTGTTTTTAAATCTTACAGGTATGAACATGGAGTTGTTAAAGTTGTTTGACACCAATGGATACTGTAATAGGGTTGTTTTAGAACATACATGGGAATGTCTAATGTAATCAGAAAATGTCCTATTGTCAAAGTAGGTGTAAATATATGTTTTCTTAGAAGCAACTGGGTTATACTGGAAAAATGTAATTCAACTGCACTGTTAGTACAAGGACTGGGGAAGGACTAGAGAAAAAAGTACAGGTAGTCCTCAACTTATAGCCGTGATGGAGCCTGTCTACTACTATCATAAAAGTGGCTCGTCATATATGAGCCACAGTGGTGCAGTGGTTAGAATGCAGTACTGCAGGCTACATCTGCTGACTGCCGGTTGACTGCAATTTGGCAATTCAAATCTCACCAGGCTCAAAGTTGACTCAGCCGTCTGAGGTGGGTAAAATTAGGACCCAATTTTTGTGGGGTAGTATGCTGCCTCTGTAAAACCACTTAGAAAGGGTTGTAAAGCACTCTAAAGCAGTATATAAGTCTAAGTGCTATTACTATTGCTATTTTATGACTTTTTTGCAGCGGTTGGAAAGCAAATGCAGCAATCATAAAGCAAACGCGATGATTGTAAAATAAATGCCATGGTCGGAAAGCAAACTTGTTCGCTATTGGGAGGTTTTACTGAAACCCAGAATGGAACTAAATATTGTTTTTTTTTGGGGGGGGGGAGTAAATCATGGTCATTTGATTGCAGGGTGCTGCAAACAACTGTAAATGTGGGACAGTTTCCAAATGTGCAAAATATAGTTATTTGATTGTGGTGAGTGGCAGCTGTTGGAATTTGGTACCCTATTGTGGAGCTCTGATCTAACTTCAAATGATACCTAAGCAATTGATGGTCGTGAAGGACTACCCGTATTTATTTAAAATACCTACTATTCTGAGGGTGGAAATAAGGTTTATAAGAATTGGTGCCCAAGTGCACCTTCAAAAGTTGAGACATACAGAGATGCTGAGCTCCTTTTAAATAGTCTCTATTCTACAATCAGTGGGAGATGGACATATTTTAAAAAGAGGGGATATATTTGCTCTGTATTTTTTTTAAAGGTAGATGGCTGTCTTGAGCTAGCCAAAAGTAGGCAGTGTAATACAATTACCTAAATATCCCATACACTTGCTCTACTCTATTCTCATCCATTCCCACATAGTCACTAGTTTGACATTGTTTTTTCTGTTCATTTTTCATATTATTCTAAATATAGTAGCCTCTTTTTTGATATAAATGTACTAAAATTCCTCTGCATCCTTGCTTTTTGGGGGAACTTAGACTTTAAAAAAACATCTCCAGTGACAACATTGGATTATACCATTTAGATAAAAACATTACCAAGTATCAATTTGGTTAATTGTTGTAATCCCAGCTAATCTATTGTTAACAGGTTCTTTGCATAAGAACAATTGATCTTCTTTTTGGACTGAATAACAAATGATATTTTGAGTATCTTACTATGATTACAGTTATCTTTGATTTGAATGCAATTTAGTACTTTTCCCATTTTTGCTTTTAGAAAATATTTGCTTGATGACAAGTATTTGATTTTACTTATGTTTTTTAGGTTTAGTCCTTATTTTAGAACAAAAGAAAAACTTTACCTCAGCTCAGTATCCTACAGCAATAAGATTGAACCCAAACAGTGTTTTTGCCGTTTTGATTTAACAGGCACATGCAATGACGACGAGTGCCAATGGTGAGTTACTTTGTATCTTAAATTAAGTGATTGAAGGTTATTGCCTGTAGAGTTGAAATGAATTTGTTATTGTCAGACTGTTTGAGCAAAGACAGCATAAGCAGTTTTAAGAATCATTAAATATGGTGACATATTCTTAAAAAATCATGCTTGTTTTCCGTTTGTGCCTATAGAATTAAGTTGAAGAATGTACGTTCATAGTTAAAAGATAAGTCTGTCCTGTCTGTCTGTCTGTCTGTCTCTATCTATCTCTATCTGTCTGTCTGTCTGTCTGTCTGTCTGTCTGTCTGTCTCTATCTATCTATCTATCTATCTATCTATCTATCTATCTATCTATCTATCTATCTATCTATCTATCTATCTATCTATCTATCTATCTATCTATCTATCTATCTATCTATATACATCACCTGTATACTGGGGTCCTAATCAGGGCATTCCATATTGAAGGTATTAAATGGATTAAGATTCTCCCTCTATCTTGCTGTATTTTGAGTTTTCCTTAGCTAAATTTAATAGTAATATTTTTATTTCGATGTTTTATATTGCAGCTTTTATCATTAATGTAAGCTGCCTAGAGTTACTTGATGATGAGATGGATAATATATAAATGTAATCAATCAATCAATAAAATATGATTTATATAAAGAGAACAAGAGAAGCAACCAAGATTTCAAATTTATCCACAATACAACTCTCCAGGCTTCAAACACTAACAAGTTCTGTAGAAATGACTCTCATGTTCACATATGTATTTGAAACACCTTTTATAGAAAATTGATAAAGGCATAAGAAGTCTTATAGACAAAAAGATTGTATAGGTAGTATTTGACTTACCACCACAACAAATACCAGAATTTCTGTTGCTGATCAACCTGGTTAAGCGAGTCATGTCTAGTTTTACAGCTTTTTTGCCATGCTTGTTAAGCAAATCATTGCAGTTATTAAGTGAACCATGAGGTCATTAAGTGATCTGGCTTCTGTTCATTGATTTTGTTTGTTTGAAGCTGGCTACGAAGGTCTCAAATAGCAATCACATGACCCCAGGACACTGCAACCATAAATATATGCCAGTTGCCAAGAACTTGAATGTTGATCACATGGCCATGGGGATGCTGTAATGGTTGTGAGAGCAAGGAATGGTTGCAAGTCACTTTTTTCAGTGATGTAATAACTTAGAATGGTCACTAAATGAATGATTGTAAGTGGAGGATTACCTATTCCATATTTTTACTAAATGATACTAAAAGTCACATTTGGTTTGTGATGGAGCACGTTGGGAATCATTAGTGCTCATTTTATTGCAGAATTTGTGTTTCATGTGTTGAAATCGATTTTGTTCACTGGATTTATTTTTGGCTTATTAAGGTAGTCCATACAGCAGGTTTGTAAAAAAAATCTATCTGGCTATAAAAAATACTATCAAAATGTTATTTTTAATATTGAATGCTTCACAATATATTAATATATCTGAGTATTACAAATGAGCATCAAAAATGTCCTTTATGAGAAAAGGTCATTGTTATATAGCAAATTCTCAACTTCTGATAGCTAAAATAATTTTACATGTTTATTAAAATTTTCACATATTGTGATCCTGTGTTCACAATTTTTCTTCTTGCATTTTGTAAAAAGTATATTATTTACTTTTAGGCAACACATGAAAGACTGCACTCTTAGCAGGAGACAGCTATTTGAGGATATTATTTCATACAATTTAGGTTTGATAGGCTGTTCAGATAAAAGTACTGATGAGGAGATAAGTACGGCAACAGGTATGTGCATATTAGTATATCAATAAAGTTTTTCAGTTCTGTAATGTTACTTGTTAAATTTTTTGCTTTACATGTAAAAAACAAGTTGCTTTCTAATGCTTCCAGTTTATTTTGTAATAAGATAATAAGAAAATATAAAGCAACCTTCTATTATACAGTATTAGTTTTATGTAAGCTGTTATTTAGTATTGTGACTCTCTGTGTTAAAGATTAAGTTTATAAAAGTTATGTTTGTATTTATTTTCATTGTAATAAGTTTCACCAAAAATTTTTTGTGGATTTCTTCCTAGGTGTGTGAATGTACTCTTGTAAAAATTTGATTGTAGTGTAAATCTTCAATATTGTCATCTTGTTTCAGAAAAATACATAGAAAAGCTGTTTGGGGTAAATAAGGATCGCATGGCAATGGATCAGATTGCTGTTCTTCTAGTTAGCAATATCAATGAAAGCAAGGGCCATAGTAAGTAACTTTTAACAGTTTCAATTGTTAAGTGTTTTAAGATGCATTTTGCGTTTGCTTGAGGAGTTTCTTTTAAAAACTCATTGTTTTTCAAAACTTTCTTCTTTCTCTTTTCATTAATAGCCCCTCCATTTACAACTTGGAAAGAAGAAAGGAAATGGAGGGTAAAGTACTTGAAAAAAACACCAGACAGTGATAGTAGCAATGAAGAGGAACTATCTTCTGGCCCCATTAAATATGGTAATAACAGAAAACAGCAATCCAAAAATTATTTATAAAATTATGCTTCACATAGTTTTTTGGTTTATGTCTCATAATCCTATATGAATGTTAATGTAAGAAGCAAGTTGGGAAATCAAAACTGAGTGTTAACAAAAGATTGTTGATTCTAACTTGATTGCAGAGAATACATAATTACTCAGAATCTTTTGTCTCAGTTCTAGCAGAATCCTTGTTGTATTAATGACAGTTATTCAACAATTGTTAACATCCTCAGAAAAACAAGATAGTCAGATTTAATCAGATTTTTAGTAAAACAGACTGAAACTGTTGTTTCCACAAGTTAGTTCTCTTTGACTCTCATTTTCAAAGTAAAATTGGGGAAACACATTTTTAAGGGTTTTTTTTATCCTGAAACTTAAATATGCCTCTTCTCTGCAGCTCATTGTAATTTAGAAGGCAGGCCAGCTGCTCATGCCAGCCTACCTTGCTGAAATACAGGTAGTTCTTGACTTATGACTACAATTGAGTCCAAAATTTATGTTGCTAAGGGATACATTTGCTAAGTGAGTTTTACCCCACTTTACAAACTTTCCTGCTACAGTTGTTAAGTGACTCATTGCAGTTGCTAAGTTAATAACCTGGTTGTTAAATGAATCTGGCTTCCACATTGATTTTGCTTGTCAAAAGGTCACAAAAGCTGATCACAGGACCCAAGGACATTGCAACCCTCATAAATATGAATCGATTGCCAAACACCTGAATTTTGATCATGTCACCATGGAGATGCTGCAACAGCCATAAGTCACTTTTTTCAGTGGTGTTGAAATTTTGAACAGTCACTAAAAGAATTGTTGTAAATCAAGGACTACCTGTAGTTAAAATTAGGAATAATTTCAATCCTGGATATTATGATAGCCATGAGAAAAAAAATACTTTTATTTCTAGCTCCTCCAGTAGAAAACAAAATAAGTGTTCCTGCTCTGGATGCTGTTGTGACTCCAGATGATGTGAGGTATTTTACCAACGAGACTGATGACATTTCAAACTTGGAAGCAAGTGTACTTGAGAATCCTTCTAATGTTCAGCTTTGGATCAAACTTGCTTATAAGTACCTGAATCAAAATGAAGGGTAGGTAATTCTTACTGTGCAGATCAGTCAGTTGTACTTTTGCTCAGTATCTTCTCACTTATGCTGCGTTAATGGCTTGTCAGTCTTTTATGCCCTTGCTCAAAAGACAGTAAGCTATTGTTTAAAAGCAATTGAAAAACAATTTGCTGTATTGCTGTGTTATAAATCCAGTGTAAAGGTAATAAAACATTGGTATATTCTTAGATAAAGTCTGTTTATTTTCAGTGCTTTGTAGTAGGAAGGCTTCTTTTGTTAAAACAATGAATTACACAATTCAGTGGTTTCAAAGGTTATATGGAAATAAAATATTTATTTTGCTTTTTAAAAAATGTATTTGGATAAAATCGGAAATATCTGTCTAAAAGTGATGATAATTGAGGAACCACTTTCATGAGAAGACTTATTTTTTTCAGAAAATAACTGGCAATACTCTAAGAACGTTAGCTGGCAGCAAATCTTAGTTGCAAATGCTGCAATGCAAGAAAGTTTATATCATGATAAATCTGTTAATTTAAGGTACTACAATTTTTTCAACAACATACCAAAAAGGCTGCCTCTCTATAAATTGTTAAAGTATTTTTTTGTTTCCCATTTATTTTTACAAAGATCATCTGCTGAATGCTTGGATTCAGCTTTAAATGTTTTGGCCCGAGCACTAGAAAATAACAAAGACAATTCTGAAATCTGGTGTCATTATCTCAAGCTGTTTTCAAAAAGAGGGCTTAAGGAAGAAGTGCAGGAAATGTGTGAGACAGCAGTGGAATATGCTCCTACTTATAAAATTTGGTGGACAGTAAGTTATATTTTATTTATTTAAAACATTCATATAACCCTCCCCATCTTATACCAAAATCTGAGTATCTTGCAGTCAAGAATCAAAACAGCAGAAAAACCACATTAAAATTATTAAAACCCATAAGCATTAGAAATAAAAACATGGCTGCCAAGTCGAACTTCCAACATACAATAATACAATAGCAGAGTTGGAAGGAACCTTGGAGGTCTTCTAGTCCAACCCCCTGCCTAGGCAGGAAACCCTATACCATTTCAGACAAATGGCTATNTTGACCTCAGAAGGATGGAAGGCTGAGTCAATCTTGAGCCGCTCAGGATTGAACTCCAGGCTATGGACAGAGTTTGCCTGCAATACTGCATTTCAACCACTGCGCCACCAGGTTCCTTATGTATGATTTGTACAGTTGTGTACTTTTGGGGTGCAAGAAAATATCAATAGTAATAGTTATGAGCAGCTGATGGTTCTAGACAGAAAAAGCCAGCTCCTTGGAAACAGAGCATACAGGGCAATCACAGAAACTAAAGCAGCAATGAGTGGGGCAACCAAGCACATTATGTATGAACGCACTACACCTCCCACTTGTACAATTGGTAGGATTGATCACCTTCTCCCTTAAACCGAAGAATCTCCCTTGTCTTCACCCTTTGTCCGCCATGAAGAAAAAAAAGAATGGGAACATAGGTACCCTTCCCCAAATGATCAAAAACGCATTTGGGCAGTATTTTGAATCTTAACAATGGGTTACAGAGGAAAATTTTCTCTTTTTCACACACATACACTTCTGCACATATTGTCTCTAGATAGGATGCCTGACACTGTTAATTAAAATGTTAAGACTATTAAGCTCATTAAGAATGAGCTTAAAGTTTTTCTACAAGATGCTACATGGTGCAATACACTTAAGTATTCCATTCTAATTTTTTTAAAAAAGTAATCTGTCAAATCCAGGTAGATATCAAAGTTAGCCTGTTTTCTGTTAATTGCTCCATAACTACCTGCTCCTATTTTCATTTCTAAAATTGCACAAGGAAGTTTTGAGAAACGTTTCATTACTTACAGATTTCCTACTACTCTCTTGAGAGGACCTCTTATCTTCATTGCCAACAATTTCAAATTCAGATGAGGATCCCTTAAAAGAAAGAGACAGGGGAAGAAAGCACATGTTTTGCTTTAAATTATGTAAACCAATGGTTAGATAGCCTCCGAACAGATAACAAAACAGCAACCTACAATAAAATGTTGTAGTATAGTTTTATCTGTTAACCTGTTAAGAGTTTTTGTCAAAGCAGTGCAGCCAAGTAGTCACACACTGTACTACGATATAGGAAAGACTTATCGTATTTTTCGGACTATATCTTTTTCCTTTTTCCCTCAAAAAAGAGGCTGAAAATCTGGGTTTGTCTATACACTGAATACAGCATTTTTTGCCCCCCGAAACCCTGCCTCTTCACCAAAATGGCCATGCATTGCCTTTAGGAGGCTTCCAGAGTGCTCCTGGGGGCTGGGGAGGGCAGAAATGAACAAAAAATAGGCAGTTATTTGCTCAGTTTTGTCCCCCCCGCAGCCCCCAGGAGCACTCCTAAAGGCTATGCATGCCCTTTTTCTGACAAAAAATGGGCCTGTTTTCGCAAAAAACGGCTATTCATGCCCTTTTTTGGGAAGAGGTCTGCAGAGTGCAAAAACTTTTTTTTTTTAATTTGCCTCTTCAAAATCTTGGTGCGTCTTGTACTCTGGTGCGTCTTATACTCAGAAAAATATGATACTTTCTACTCACAAGTTCCCCTGCTTAAAAGGGGCTGGACTAGAAGACATCCAAGGTCCCTTCCAGCTGATTCTATTCTATTCTACTCTACTCCAAGGTGGCAATATTCTGATAGGACAGGTAGATGTCCTTGGGGAAAAGTGATCCTGCAGATGTGCATGGAAAGTTACTATGGAGTATTTTTGAAATATATTGATATAGTTGACTGCCATGTTTAAGAACTCCTTAGTATAAGTCCTTTAATTTGTACTAAAACATTTCCCCTATTAAAACATTTGGCATTACTTATTAGTTTTTGTATATCTGATATGAAAATTTGGAAGCTGAAGAATTTTATCAAACATTCTGTTAATAACCTGATCCTGACACCTGATGGAAAAATCAAATGTTCTGAGCGTTTTGGAAGGCTAATAGGATCAGGGCTTCCTGGATCTCAGAGAAGATGCTGTTTCATAGGGCATGTGCCATGGCAGAGAACTCGTGTTTCTGGGTCCCGTTAAATGGCCCTGTATCATGGAAGGACCCAGAGCATGTACACCCAGACACAGTTGGGGACAGAAAGTCTCAAAAATAACTTGAATAAATTTAAGAGCTTATCTTATCTTTTGAAATCTTGTGTATTTTACTTTATAAGCTAAAGTGATTCTTATGGTTAAGAGTGAATGTTTTCTGTCAACTATTGTTCAGTTTCTAAGTCTTGAAAACTCATATGATGGAAAGGATTATGTATGTGGAAGAATGCTACAATTCCTGATGAAAGCTGCAAAGAATGAGGAGAATGTGAATATTTCGTCCTTTCACTTGCTGGAGATGTTACTGTATAGAGTTCACTTAAGTCTCTTTACTGGAAAGTATCAAAACGCCATTGCATTATTTCAGGTATTTGCTTATATTATGTTATAAATTCATCCAAATAATTAGAATTTATTGATAGTTTGACGTATCTTGCAGAGGCTAGTCCATGCTCTGAATAAAAAGAAGAAAGAAAAAATGAGCAGCAATGGGAACATTCTAATTTTTATCAAATAATGTGAAAAAAGGAATCCCTGTTTGTTCACTAGTCATTTTTAACAACTGTTGTATAATGCACAAAAGTCACAAGAATGATGACTGGAAATCAAAGTATTTTTAAAATAAACAGACTCATGTATAAAATGTATAGCAGCTCCTTCCCCCCCCCCACCCTTCAGAAGATGAAATTACTTTCTTTTACCCTTGGCTTTATGCTTAATTGGTCCCTTTAAAATTATGGTAATAATGTAATAGTTCAGAATGCAAGACAGGATAAAAAAATCAGTATACAGAAATTCCAGTTCTTATTCTTGCGGCTGTTGATTTTGTTTCATGAGCATAATTACTCCTGCCTTCCTCCTTTCCTCCCTCCTTTCCTCCCTCCTTTCCTCCCTCCCTCCCTCCTTCCTTCCTTCCTAAGTAAATCTCACAAGTCAGCATTTATTTACAGGGAGATCTGCATCTTGGTTGAAATGATGCCTTTTGATCTGGACAGTTCTTATCCTTTAAAAAGTCTAGATCTGAAAAAGTGCCTTTAGAACAGAAGTGTGAAACTGGCAGCCTGTGGGCTGAATGCATCACACACAGGCCACATCACCCCAGCTTCGCAAAGGAAAAAGGGCCCCCAATGTAACATCATGACAATGTGACACCGCGAGTTTGACATCCGTGCTTTAGAAGATCCAGTTTTGAGGTTTATGACTTGTAGAGCCATCTGCTCCAGGAGATTGAACCTTCCAGTTGTGAAGTTTCAATCTCCCTGATGAGGCCTCCTCTTTAAGCCTATATCCTTTTCTGTTCCACAGAATGCTCTGAAGTCAGCAAGTGATAAGATCATAGTGCAACATCTGACTGTAAGTGACCGTTGCTTAGCTTGGCTATCCTACATACATTTGATTGAATTTGGAAATCTTCCAGTTAAATTCTATGATCCAGCCAATAGCAACCCTTCAAAACTAATGAAAAAGGAGTCCTTTTTGATACCTTGGAAAACAATGGAAGATGTTAAAGCTAATCCTGATACTCTGTTAGCTTTGTTTGAAGGTAATTGGTTTAATTCTTAAAATAATACTTAATAGTATGTATACTATAATTATGATACAGTGTGGTATTACTGATTATCAAGCATTGATTTTAGTCCATACATTAATTTAGAGTAAATATATCTATCTTAGTGAGGCTTCTTTCTAAATAGGCACAGATAACCTTAATATTGTTCTAGAAAGTCATCACTGCAAACCAACCCTTCTCTAGAAAAACTCTGGAAATGGAGGTCTCAATATAACTGGAGAGCACCAGTGCAATCTTACTCAGTTGGTTCATAAACATCAGTTTTATAAAACTAATGTTGAAGATTGTGCTAAAGTTGAGTGCAGTAAATAATGTGGATGGCAATTACATATATGTATGCAGTGACAAAATTTTATATTTCTAAGTGTAATTTTTGTTTTGTTTCTGAATTTTAGATGCCATCCAATCATGTACTAGTGAGGATGCTTCCACTGAGAAAAGAATTGTTTGCCTTCCCTTGTACAGAAACATGATTGTTTTGCAGCAGCTGTTAGAAAGGTTTGTTATTGAAAACCCTACTTTTTTTTGTATGCTCCTTCCATTATATTCTAGGACCAGCTGTTTCTATCCTAATATCACTTATATTAGAAGACAAGAAAGAGTTTTATTATTTATACTGCCCATCTCATAAAATGTGTCTCTAGGTGGCACAAAATAAAACATTAAAAACAATATAAAAATAATCAACCATTAAAAAATATTACAATATTTAAGAGGCAAGGAGGGAGTAACAAATATAGCAGTAAAGCCATCTCAGCACTCACCAAGGGCTCAGCTCCCAAGCCTGATGGCATTGTAAAACCTAAACAGGAATGGACCCAACCTTTGGGCACTATGGCAGAAATGGTCTGCCTCCAGGGTCCTGCCAAATGTAATTAGCAGACAGGTTATAGAGCATCTGTAATTCTTCTGTTGGATCTTTTCCCATCCCAATTACATCTGGGACAGACAGCCTTTCTCTAATAGTTCACAGAATACCATATTTTTCAGAATATAAGACCCACCAAGATGTTGAAGAGGTAAGTAAGAAAAAATGTTATTGTCCTCCCCAGCCGCCAGGAGCACTCTGCAGGCTTCAGCAGGGCTGGGGGAAGGCAAAAATGCCCCGTTTTTTAGAAAAACAGCAGAAAATGGGCCATTTTTCACAAAAACGGGGGCATTTTTGCCTTCCCCCAGCCCTGCTGAAGCCTGCAGAGTGCTTCTGGGGGCTGGGGGAAGGCAAAAGTGCCTCAGTTTTTCACCCATTTTTTGCAAAAATGGGGTGCGGGGCAGGGCTTCGGGAGGCGAAAAATGGCTGTATTCAGTGTATAAGACACACCAACATTTCCACACTCTTTTAGTGGTGGGAAAGGTGCATCTTATACTCTGAAAAATATGGTATGTTGTAGATGCAGATGATAGAGTCCTCAGTCTGCCAAGATTTTATCTGTAGATGTGAAACAATATAGAATTCAGTTTGGAAGAATTACTACATGTCATTCTAAGTTCTGGGCCTGATGCCCATGCCAGGGAGGGCTATAAAGGTAAAAATTAGCATCTTGAATTGGACCTTGAAGCAGTGCACCAGTGCACAGAATGAGCAGAAATATAATGTCTGCCATTTCAACGAATACACTTAATTTCTCATACTGCTGTATTCTGTACCAAGTCATTTTCCTTAAAAATTGAAGGTTAGGTACTGAATGAGCAATGGCTTATTGAGGAGGCGAACCAAGACCTCCTGAAGATGTGAAGGAACAAGTCCCTCCTTCTACCCATTCACACAACCTGCCCCCCCTCTCCAAAGTACTTAAACAAGGCAGGGGAATGGTCTGAAGAGCAGGCGTCCAAGCTCACGGTCATAAGGACCCCAAGGAATCATAAGGTTCCATGTTCATGTTTCTGTTGACAAATTTGAATCAAGTTCAGCTCCTGCTGACTTTGGGTGTGGCCAAAAGATTTTATTGGCAGCACTATGCAGCACCCCATATAGGGCTTGACATTGCTTTCTGGGAAGTTTCAGTTCTGCAGTTCTTACATTTCTTAATAGTTTCCTGTATAATAATAAACAGAGCCAACTCTTCTTAGTGCTTTTAGATAGGCCGGGGAATATTAGTTGTGCTGCCCTTAAGAGAGGAGTGGTTTTTTAAAAAAATGTATAAGGCTTTTATATTTCATTCTTTTAATATTTTAAATAATCTATGAAGATGTTCATAGAAAACTTCACTGATTTCATTCAAGGTGGGAAGCTGCTATTGAACTGAGTAAATCACTTCTGAAATTAAATCCTTTTGACTGTCATCTTTTGAAGACTCTAGTTGATTTGTATTTGAGAACAGGAGAGATTGAAAGAGCTTGTGATGTGTGGCTCTCAGCGTTTGAGAAGAATCCTCAGAATGCCCAGGTTTTTTACTTTATGTGCAATTTTTTCATGATGCAGGTAAAACAACTTGTTTCATATTTGATTTATTTATTCCAGTTTTTCCAATGCAAAATGACAACTTTATCATGAGATATAGTAGAGATTGCTGTAGAATAGAGAAAATATATCTTACCCAAATTAGTTGTTTACATGTTACAAGATTGAGATACGAATCTGAGTGTTCTGGTTTATTGGGTAGATGATGTAGAACTTTGTGACAAAGGTACAACATACTAGACGGATTTTTCATACCTTTGTTTTATACATGAAAGGATCTTTTGTATTCTTTTTATATATAAATTATAAAACGTTAATTTGGTCTTGTGTTGCTGCTGCTGAGTAATCTCTCTTGACTATTCAGGTGTCCTCTTTTTCTGCTTTTATATAATTACCAAACTTTTACTTTTAATATTTCCATATGACAGCTCATTTAATTGAGTTAGTTTCAAAAATCATTGAAATGTTTTACATAAGTTGTACTGGATTCTGTCATGTAAACTAACATCAGATTTAATTCTTTTATGACAGAATAGATCAGATAGTATTCCTGCACTGTTGCAAGCCTTTGTTGCTGCATTTTTTGAGTATGTTCCTCAAGAAAATCATCCTGTAGAATTATTACGGTAAGCCTGGCTGCTGTTTTATTCTACATTGAATTACCCTCATTTTTGATGTAGAAATTGTAGTATACATGTATTTGTAGAAATTCTAGTCATATGTTGTCAGGTTCAACTACTAAGCATATTTTCAGGAAAATCAATTATTTCCATTTGTCAAAGGATTTTGCATATCTACTTTGTGCTTCATGCATTTAGGTTCTCATTCCACTAGACAATAGTTTTGTTACTAATAAATTTTATCTTCAGATTTGTGTCAATATTATATCCACTATTTTATTCCAGCACACAACTGGGACTTGCTTGGAATAGTTTCTTCATTAACATCAGTCCATTTTCATTGGAACATAGCCACTTCTGGTAGTCTTTCTGTTTTCATTAGATTGAATTCAACTCTCTCTTACTTAAAGCAGTGCTGAAACTACTCACTCACTCAGAGAAGCTATTCTTTTTCTCAGTTGAAAATTCTGGCTGAGCTAATCAAGTTAATTAGATGAACTGAAGAAAACAATGATGCAAATGTTAAAATGAATTTCTCTCACTTCTGAAATAAACCCTAGCAGCTACCACCTTTTAGGTTTTGTATGTGTATTAGTACATACATTTCCTCTTATTAATTAAAATTCTATGCAACTTCTAAATACAATATTGTGCTAGTAGTAAGGACAGGAAAATTTTGCACCCGCCCTAATTTGCAGTTATGCATTTGTTGCAGAAGCTAATTGGATTCCTACTTAATAGCTAACATAGCATTTGGACTTTGATTTTTGCTATATGTTTATAAAGTTTCTGTTATATAATATTAATTCTATATACTAAAAGCAGATTTTTATTGTAGGTATTTTTTGAATTTTCCAATGCCGATTGAATTTACACCACCCTTGTATAAGGGAAATTTTAAGGAAGATGTTTTAAACCAGCAGATTCCTTACCTGTGGCAGATATACTGGTGAGATTGATTGTTTTAATGCTAATATCAATTTGCATAAGATGCCTTATACTAAACCAGTTCTTGAAGAGCAGCCCTTCTGTTCCTGGTATATTCATCATACTTGATAAATGCAGCTTTCTCCTATGGTATGATTTTTTTTTCTTTGTGTATCATGCCTTTGCGTAGTGCCTTTCTGCATTTCAGTTTACAAGTTAGTGTTAGGAGATAAGAATGGAAAAATTTGTAAGGATGGGAATGTCAGTTTTTTTCCCTACAATCCTAAATTCTACCTAATGAAAAGAAGTAGTATATGCTTTTTAATTAAAAATTCAGAATTCAAATATTTATTTTGGGTATTCAAAGAAAACAAAGCTCAATATCTTCCACATCATTGTCTGTATGAGGTATTAAAAAGTCAACGTGATGGTGCGACCAAATGATTAAAGCCCCACCCCACTTCCTCCAACACATTTAAAAATAAAAGTTGTCATTTATAAGAAGCCTTTTATTCTTCATTTCAGTAGTGTACTCAAAAAGGAAGGAACGTAAGAATGTATGTTCTGGAAATTGTAACTTGTGAATACTTTTTCCACATTTTGACTTATTCTCCTATTGAGTACAACCTCTATATTTTGACAGCAACATTTGTTTTGAAAGTATTAAATTGAAATATAAAATTTGCTTCTTGGTTTTGAATGTAATCATTTATATCTAAGACTGGTATGCTTGTCTATTATATGCTGTCTGCTGACTTTTAAAAATTGAAATACAGATTTGGTTTATGTCCATAAGAATGAATTTACTATTCCTTTGTCATTATAGTTCTAGGAAAAGAAATTAAGTTTGATTTTTCACTAATCCTGTTTTATTATTTCAAAATTCGAATGCCTAAAATGTGGGAGTTCAGATTGTGTTAAAACAATCTTTTATATAAAAAGTACTAGTAAGCAATGAAATAAAGGAAAGTGGAACTTTTGTTCTGTTATGCAGTGTTTTGAGAGGTAAAGAAAATGAGCTCAAAACTTTACTTGAGTTCTTTAGCAATCTGTGCGCATAAACTAAACCAGTTTAGTGTTGTGTGCAAACTGAAGCATATTTGACACTATTTGGTTCTAAATGTCCGCTTCCTCCATTGCCCTTTTCTTTTAACAAAAAGTGTGTGTTTGGTTACAAAAACATTTCTTTTTTATAGTTTATACCAATCACTTCATGGAAGTTCTATAGAAGCAACAGATGCATTTGAAGCAGCACTGGGAGCAGTCATGCAAGAGGAAATAGTTCAGCAGATTTGGATGGAGTAAGTAGAAATGATGAGACATTACTTGACTATTTATTTAGCTAGCATATTTATTTATATATCAAATTTCTATATTGTCCATTATACTTGCATGCCTCTGGGTAGTTTATAGATAAAAAAATAAGCTATAGTTAGAAACAAGTTAAAAACCAGATTAAAACAAAGTTAAAAAGGGCACTATCAAAGTTAAAAGGAAGAGGAAGTACCTTCAGCTCACCAGTCACCTCCACGTTGCATGGTACCCTTGGACCCCCAAGCCAGTTGGCAAAGCCATTATTTTAACACTCTTCCAAAATGCCAGGAAGGTGGGGATCTGTGTTGCCTCTCGTATAAAACCCAAGAATGCAGATGAACCTGATCTTATATAACCACTGTATAGACACACTCCCTGGGATCCCCAAGGCTATGAAAAATCTATGTTTTAAGGGTATTTAATAGCATATTCAGACGTATTCAAATAGGAGTTTTACTTGTATTTTCCAGTTACCTTGTTTTCATGAATGACAAAATTGTCAAATCCAACAATCAAGTTCAAGAATTCAAGCTTTTTACTGATCTTGTGAACAGATGTCTTGTTACAGTCCCAACACGTTACCCTATTCCATTTAGCACTGCTGATTACTGGACCAACTATGAATTTCATAACAAGGTACAATATTTCAAAAGTCACAATAAAGCAAACCTAATACAATTAAATTTTTGAGATCCTCAATTAGTCAAAACGTTATAAGGACCGATCAGAGCTTGGGAGAAGGCAGGACAAAATCTGATGTTGAAATCAACACTTTCAGGTGGAATGGGGGAAGAAATGTAATGATGAGGGATTCTTGGTGCTCTCTGAGCTTGGTTGTTTTCTTGCAGACATGTCATTATCCATCTAGGTAACGTCATCACTGCTCACATTTACCTACACTTAATGAAATGTTTGCAAGAAAACAACCAAGTTTATAGAGTACTAAGGGCCCCTCATTTCAACCCTGAAATATAAATATTGTCCTCATCAAAACTTAATGATATTATGGTAGTTTCAGGTTACTTGCATTGAGAGAGTTATCGTGGCTGTTTTTTCATTGTGTCTATGGTTCAAGATAATGGAATCAGAATCTCTTGAAATATTGATTAGAAAGTTTACTTTTCAGCAGGATTGATGCCTATCTACTTTATTTCTTTTTCATCACTGCTGTAATAGTACATCCAAGAGTTCCTTGGACATTTGCTTGGACTCTTTGTTCTTTTATTATTTCCATCTGCTAGGTATTGTTTTTCTGCTTTGTATTTTTATTTTATCTTCCCTTTTTTTATTCCGCTTCACTGTTTTCCATGTACTGATGACCCAGAAGGCACCAGTTAATAGGTGCACCAAATATAGTAGTAAGCTGCTGTATATCTAAGGAAATTACTTTCCTCCATTCTGCTTGGAGGAAAGGAAAGAACCTTCCAAAGCAAGTCATATGCAGTTGGTCTTCAAGACTGAGAATACTTTTGTGTGGTCAGGTATTGAAGATTGTCTACACCACCATATCATCTCTTCAGACTGCCCAGAAAAATGTTAATGCCACCTGGGTCCTGAAGCAAAGGCATCAGTTCTGTTAAGAGATCAACTGGATTATCATCACATAGCACAAACTTCATTTTGGCTTACTCCCCCTTTATCAAAAACCAGAAGTTGCAGAGTTCTTGCCATTAAAATCTGCAAATAATGCAAAAATCAACGTAATCATTCCCAGGTTTTGCAGCAACACCATATAGCTTCCAATGATGTTATTTCTGATTCTCTCACTATTTTGGGCCAGGAAGGTGTATTGTTTGCTGCCTTAAATTATTTTTTAAAATAATAAAAGCAGGATTAAAAACAAACAAACAAACCCCTAGTAGAGTTGCTTATGCATGCCAACCTGAAATTAGATGGCATGCTTCTCCTTCCTGTGAAACACGTAGGTTAACAGTGATGTATGATGGAATATCCCAAAATAATCTTATTTTGATAGGTATTGGTCAGTCCAACTTAACTCGGAATTCAAAAGTATGCATGCTATTTTCTCATTCATTACACTACAGAACAGGGTTTTAAAAATAAATAAATGGAACTTCTAATGTTTTCAAAATCAACCTTTCAGGTAATTTCCTTCTATCTGAGTTGTATTCCAAAGACTCAGCATTCCAAAGCTTTGGAACGGTTTTGTTCTACCATGCCTTCGAATCCTGGACTTGCATTCAAGTAAGAAATATTACTGGGAGTATCTAAAAGTTTATGTGTGCTTCTTTTTATTCTTTCAAATCCAGTGGAATGTTGGAAAGAAATTAGGTAAATGAGCTGTGTGACTAGTAACTGTCTGAAAACTGAACTAAACTGAATTTGACATGAGAGATGAAGCTAATGATAAACAAAATAGGTTCTGAAAGGGGCTGGATCAGATGGGGGGCTATGAAAAAATCAGTGCAGTCCTGTAGGAGAAGCATCTGGACAAGTATTTAAAATACTTGTGACCCAGTCATCCAATCCAGTGTACTGAGCCAATATAGAGTTGCAGCTTAGAAAGTTTGTTGAATGGTGAAAATGATCTTATCATCCTAGATCTCTAAATATAAATATGGTTCTTAAACTATAAATGTTATCAAGCAAGTCTTTAAGAAAAATATTGGGCACATTAATAGTTTAGTGTTAAACTAGAGCAAACTGTTATGTTAATGTGTTTTTCTCAGGGCTTTTGGACTTACTGTACAACCTAGAGGAACACTTTGATGGAACTTGATTTCATTTAAAAATCACACAATTGAAAGTATGGAGGTTCTCAGTCATCCAGGTCATGGTTGTCCCAAAGGTGCTTTTTCCAAGAGGCAACTGGACTTTCTTGTTTTTCTTTGAAGATATTTCACTTCTCATCCAAAAAGCTTCTTCAGGTCTGGAGAGCTGAAAGTCCAGTTACCTCTTGCGAAAAAGCACCTTTGGAATATACAATTGAAAGTTTGTTCAGGCACTAAAAGAAGCAAATGCCATACATTGGATTCAGAAACTGACAATCTAGGAATGGCTGAAGAAATGGTTTCATTAGCATTAAGGCAGCCATTATGCTTAGTAGATTTCAATCTTTTGAGTAGGTATGCCTGTTGTCTTCTAGCTAATTAATTAGTATTAGTACCAATTAGTAATAACTAATAAATAAAGTCTTAGTAAGCATTTTTTTAAACTCTTCATAGAAATGTTCATTTGTTGTGCTGCAATATTAAAAACAGTCACCCCCAGAGATACATTGGGATGTCTAAGTAATTATCTTTCTGACCAGGTCAATTTTTTTCATCCCAATCTTTTCATTTCATCATTTCTCCCTTCATACCAAATTTTCTGTTCAGTTTTCAGAGTTTATTCAACTAGCAGAGTCCCAATCCTCTTTAATACCGGTAATTTCTTTTGAAAGAAAATAAATACAGAGTATATAAATATATGTTTTAGTAACATGTTTTCTGGTGTAATTTAGCCTGGTTATTTTTGCTGAAGTTATCCTGACAATGTCAAGCAATAACAGTGGTTTACCTATAGATCAGTTACTGAAGGAGGTTAAAAACACCCCTTCACTGGAAGTGTTTTAAGCAGAGACTTGTCAATCACCCATTGAGTGATTAAGATTTCTGCTCTGAGCAGAAGATTGGACTCAATCACCTAATGCATATCAAGTAGAACCCTCACAATAAGTTTTCTTTTTCTGGAGTTTAACAAAAGTTTTTTTTTTCGTTTAGTATATTTCATTTTCATTTTCATACACTCACATGTATACACCATACAGTATTAAACAATAATTGCATCAATTCCTCTTGTCAACAATGCCCCAGAAAATAAAAGCCCAATATACCTCTTCCATTCTTCATACACCTTTCTTACCCCACCCTCCAACTTTCTATCTTCCCTCCATCCTCCTCCTCTACCCTACTTCCCCTCCCCCTCTACCACTCTTCTCGCCAGATCCGCTCCCCCCCTTCCTTTTCACCTTCCCCCCACCCTCTCTCCCAT